GTATTTTCTCCTGGGAGAACAGTGACTGTTCCAGGAAAAACTCAATGTCTGTATGTGGCCTGTATCATGTATTTTCAGAGAATATCTGCATTTTGAAACTAAGAAAAACAAGTTAAAATTTAGTGGAATATGAAGCTGAATATGAATTTCTTACAGATTAAAATGTATGTACTAAATATGCCTTATTCATAGTCCTAGATATTATACTATATAGCAAAATTCCCTTTATATGTATAAAGCTCTATACAGGCCAACTAGACAAGGAATAAAATAAACTTTCATTTCTATGGTATGTTTGATAAAAATTTTATCTTGAATGCTTCAACCAGATTAGATGTGGTTCAACATTAATTATACTAATGTCATGAGGGACGCTGAACATGTTCAGGAGTAACAAATGTTATTTGGGCACAGGACTGTTTTACGTAACAGGAATTTTCTGTTTGGATATTTGAATTTCAAATTACAACCACAAAAAAAGTAGCATTAAAGCAAGAAACAAACTAAGAGGTGGAGAAAATTAGAAATGAAAGAGAGTTGACTTATGGTAAAACAGGCACAGGAAACTGTTCCAGTGATGTCGCATAGTTAGCAGAAAAAATAGGAGGCAACACTTCTGGTTCCTATTCTTTACTATAGAAGTCGCTTATGTGAGAATTCCAGAAATTATTTTTCTCTCTAAAAGCAATCCTTCCTTGACTACTCTTGCAACCAGTATTAGAGCAACCTCCCTCTTCTCCCACAAGAACTTGTGGGGTATTACATAAGGTTGCACCCCAAAAGCACTGCTTTAAGTGAAGCAGACAGTACCAAATATTCTATCAGAAACCAATAGAAATGATAACATTGAGAGGATGGCACATGAGAAGTAGAATTGTTAATTTATATTACTACTATCAAGAAAGATTTAGTGCTTGAAAGTGACGGATTGACAACCCTGATTCCAATTCTTCAAACACTTAATCACATGTTTAACTTTACTACCATTTCAAGTGCTCGTTGATTGACTATAAAGTTAAGAGGCAAGATTTTTTTTTCTTTTACTGTGCAGTTGGTCCAATAAAAGATATCACCCAAAATAAATCTTTCCATCTCACATAATTCCTGCATCATCACAGCTACGCCACACCACACCACTCTAACACTACTATAAAATTAAGGACATGTATAAAAGTTTGCAATATCATGGCTTTAAAAACAAGTCCTTATCCTTTGCTTAGTAGCCAGGCCTTTGCTTATCCTTAAAACAGGTACCATATGGACAGCTACAGTGACACATTCTGTATGTTTCTGAGTCAAATTGCCAGATATTTAGGACAGTTAATTCTCTCTGCCATCTCATCCTTTATCTTTCTTATTGAGACTGCCAACAAATAGATTAGAGTGTTTTTCTGAAACCACTGGAAGGGGACAGAAGTCATCTCACAACAATTTTTTAGGAAGAGGTAGTTATGGGGACTGCCAAGCTGAGCTATAGCAAGAAAGCCACTCAATTATTTACCAAGGGAAGAAAACTTCAGACTTAGTGGTACTGGGAAAACATTTGGGATTTTAAACCCTATCTTTAGTACTGGTGTCTTCACAGTCCATGGAAATCAGGATTTGGTTTGCAAGAGGATTTGTGCTGCAAGAAGATAGTGACCAGTGTGTGTCTCCAGCAGGTGTTCTATGCGCTTGAGGCTGAATGGAAGATGAGAGTGCATGGGCAGTGTGTACCTGTAGAGTGGATTCTGTGTTTGGTACCCTTGATATTGAATTGTGCACATGCACAATGGTATCCACCTTGAATAACTCTCTGGAATGTATAACCTTTTGAACTGGTGACCTACTTTGAGAATGTGAGCATGCATGGTAATGATTTTTTGGATAACTAGGGAAACCAGAATGCCTCTTCTGAGAGTTGCAAACCCCTTCAGGCATGTGTGGGTGTGCATGAGTTTGAATGGATTTGACTGTGTACCTGTCTTTAGTGTGTTTGTAGTGTGGATTCCTCTGTATAGTTGTTCAGTTCGGAGCATGTGCTTGGAGAGAGGATGGTGGAGAGCGGTCCCCTAGGCAGTGACGCTCCTTTGTAGTGAAGGGCAGAGCTGCTGCCCAAGTCTTCTACAGCACAGCTGAGCCCTAAGGGCTCATAGTGCCCTGCATAGTGCAGGACACTGAGATACCACAGCTGCATTCTGTCAGGGGAGCCTGCCAGAGTGTAAGGCCGCAGGGTGCCAGCATGCAGCCCGCAGACAATCAACCAGGTCAGACTGGCTGTTTTTTCCATCAGTTACTGACACTGGCATCTTCCTGTTACATCAGAACTTATTTGGTAAAGTATCCATTCCAGCCTTGTTCTTGTGAGTGTCCTGAGTTTATATCTGAATGCAACATTGTATTGTTGTTGTTTTCCACTTTCCCTCTCCCTTTGTTTGTTATCAATAAAATCCTTATTTTGTTTTACCTTTAATTTGTCTTGATTACCTCTAATATACCAATAAAACCAAGGTGGGCCCATAGCCAGTACTGCCACCCTCAGTAGTGGTCACCTTGGCTAGCTCCTAACCTTGTTGTCTGTCCCTTTCTGGGCCTACCAGATCAGGGTTCAGTCCTCCCTAGCAGAGGTTCCCAACCCCTCTGCCATGGCCCGATACCAGGCTGTGAGTGGTTGGCTGCTGGACCGCAAGTCTGGAAGTGACTGGCAAACTGCGGACCGTCAGCCTACCATTTTTTATACTCAGTAAAAAACAAAAGTTGGCTGCCGGTCCGCAATTTGCCGGTCACTTCCAGTCTGCAGTATGCTGGACCGCAGTTTGCCAGTCCATGGTCACTTGCAGTCTGTGGTCACTCTCAGTTTGCAATTTGCCAGTCCACGGTCTAAACAGTTTGGGAACCACTGCTCCCTAGACATCAGGCTCAACACCCAACAAATAACGATCACTAGACCATTAATTTGTGGAGTTTCACAAATGGTAAAGCATTTCAAGATGCCATTTATGGATGCTTATGTTGGAAATGCTAACATGTTAACAGCGCCAATGGTGGTGGTGACAGTAGGAGAGGAGCTGCAGGACAGCCCGGGCACAGGCTCCTGGTGGCTGCAGCAAGGGCCTGGCAGCAGTAAAGGGGAGGTGGCCACTCTTCCCCCATGCCCAGCAGTAGCTTCTGCCTGGCCACCACTGCAGCTGCTCAAGATGCACAGGTGGGTCCAGAGCAGGCATGGGGTGGCCCCTAGGCCAGGGCTGTGCGTGTGAGTCCCAGCTGGTTCAGAGCCTGTTAGCTCTGATCAGGGCAGGTCTGGTGCAGGTACGAACCGGGCCCAGATTGGGGCTGTGCATCTGGGCCCCCGCCAGTCTCCATGTGGCTGTGCCTGGCAGCAGCTGGAAGGAGCTCCTCCTGCCTGGGCTGCCTAGAAATGGAATCCAGCTGTGGAGCCACCCCAACCTCGCTGTGCACCTGGGGGTGGTGGGACAGCTTGGCACTTGGGACAAAGTTCCTCTGTGGATTGGATCTGGCCCGTGGGCCATATTTTTCCTACCCCTGTGCTAAGCTCACATGTATTATGTTCTCCCACCGGTCAGGCCTTTTGACATGTTCTTCCAAAATGTGGGCCAAAGTCCACCAAGTAGACTATAAGCCCCGCTGCACGCGGGAGTGGTGCACATCACTGATCACTTGGGAGAACAAAAAGACAAAATAGGGAAGGGCAGAAGTTTAAAATGAGTGCACCAGGGGCGGGGGAGGGAGGTGGAGGGGCACTGAGCAAAGGGCAAAGGTCAGTGCCCACTGACCCTTGAGCAAGTCCAAGAAGCTGCCCAGTTGAACTGCCCGGAGCAGTGGTGATAAGTAGGGGGTGCACAGGAGTGCACATGCACCCCTGAGAGCGCTGGTGCACCCCCTGTTGGCCGCGTTCCCATCTTAGGCGACAGGCAGGGGGGCAGGTGGGAGTGCTGCCCCCAACTGCGAGTGCCTGGATGAAGTGCCATGGCCCGATCTAGGAGCGTTGCGGCCGCTTCTGGATTGGCTGCCGGGGGAGCACCCCCAGTCCCTGGTCAGCGAGATTGACTGCAGAGGGGTCCCCCTCCAGTCATTGACTGGTTGCTGATGGGGCACATGCCCCCCTGATTAAGGTGGCACCAGTTGCCCATGGCCCAGAGACATGAACAGGCTGGGGACAGGAAAATGGCCCTGCAGTCCCAGCCAGACCCTCCTTCCCCACTGGTCAGGACACTGAGAGCCATTCTGGCGGGAAGCCACCTTTCCTCCACTGTCCACCTGTCACGGGTGCATGCCATGGTTACAAAAACGCCTGGCTCCTCAAGCTGGCAAGCTGAAGGCAGCACCTCTCCCACCCGCTGATAAAATACGTGACCACACCCCTGCCTCTGGTCCAGCTCCTGCGCCAGGGCTGGCCTTGTGGGACACATGGACCCCCAGAGGGCTGCACCACATGGCCACACCTCCTGGGGCTGGGGGAGGTGGGAGGGAAGGGGGAACTGCTCTTGCAGCTGCAGCGGGTGCAGGAGGCACCAGGCAACACATATCCAGCTGGATTCCCACGTGGCCGGGTTTAAGAGCCTGGAAAAGTCCATGGGAGGGCAGGGGGAAGCTCCCCTTAGAGGGACACCATTCTCACCCTGCTGCACCGCGGGTGGGCGCAGATTTGCAGCGGAACCCACTGCAGGTGTGTAAGGGCGGAGCGGAGCCACCCCCACGAAGCAGCAACGGGCGAGGGCATGGCAGGCAGTGCCAAGGGCAGCCCCGCGCTTGGGGGGGGCGGCCTGCACTCAGGAGCGGACCGCAGTGAGGACTGCCCCGGGGCAGGGTGGGGCGCATCGGCCCCTCCCACAGGCGGAGCCATGGCTCTGTGCACGGCCACACGGCTGAGGTCAGTGCAGCGTGGGGGGGACGGGCTGGCTCCTGCGACAGTGCCCGGGTCTGGAGCGTCCTCGGGCTCAGTGCACAGCTCAGCCTGGCCTGGCCCGAGACTTGCTCCAGGGTAAAAGGCAGCCTGTCTCAGGCTTTATTTCAGCTGTTCCCACGGGCCCCGCCAGCCCCAGCGCTTCATGGTCACGGGCTTGCAAAGCAGCAGGCAGCGGGAGTCCGGACCCGTTTGTAAGCCTTCTAAGAAAAAGGCCACAGATGACTCTTGCTGCTGTTACCATCTGCTTGGGGTGTGGCTGTGAGGTGCCCGGGCCCCTGGGGTGCGCCAAGGGCTCCTGGGGTGTGCCTGTGTGCATGCGAAGGCTTGTGCTGGGGCCAAAGCCAGAGGCTTGTGGTTAGAGGGTCTTGCCCTCAGGAACAGACCAATCACTGTATTTGGGGCCATGCTCTGACTGGTATAGACATGGGCATTTTTTTTACCTTTCTCCTTACCTTAACTGGGAGTACGATCCTGTTCCTGGGATCTCCTGAGCGTGCATTCACCTTTTATAGAAACAAGATGTTGGCTGCCCTGATCCCCCTGCTTTACTTGGGGCTGGTTCGGGTGTTAGGTCCGTGCTGTGTCAGGCCTTACAGTAGGCTTGTGTAGTTCACATTATGATTTATGCGGGAAGGTTTGGATAGGGATGATCCCGCCTCAGGCAGGGGGGTGGAGTAGATGACCTCTGGAGGTCTTTTCCAGCCCTACTTCTCTATGCCTTTATGCCTTTATGTACTTGCAGGGCAAAGGAGGCTTGGAAGTGTCATTTTTTAAGGTACTCTTCTGTTATGTTTTCCCCACTGGGCCTTGGCCGTGTAGGTGTTAGTCTGCAGAAGCAAAATTATGAGGCATGGCTGGGTGTGTGGGGTCTGGTGGGAAAGCTGTCACTCTTCTGAAATTCTGGGGCACATGCAGTATGTTTTAGTGTTTTCTGGACTGTTACTACCATTAGATGTGGCACATTATTTTGACATTACAGTATACATTGATTGCAGCCAGGGCCATAACTGAGCTTTTATAAAAGTCCCAGACAGGTCCAGTCCTTTATTCTGCTCACTTTGCAAGCACATAATCCTGGGCACTAGACCACCCAAGAGAGCACAGATTAAGAGTCTGTGTCCCAAACAGTTTACAGTCCTGAGCCAGACTTCAGAAATTAGCATGTAGATTTCAACGTGGGGGCCATGCTAGAAAACGTTGATTTGACACCAGTCTTTAGTGTCCTGTTAATATAACTTGTGAACCATAAAAATGAGTGGCTTTATTTAGAGCGTTTAAATGCTTAGTCTTTTTTTTTTTCTCAGAATGGGGAATAGCCCACCTACTTCCATGCGACTGTCTAATGATGCTACTTTGAACCAGATCCAGGTAAACCTAGGAGCTAGATATTTGTTATTTAACAAGGAGAATTCTTTCTGGCATGTAGAAAAAAAATCTTCTTATGTAAATTAATAACCGCCTTTTTTTAATCAATTGAAGAATTGTTTTTAATACTTCTCCATATTGAATATCCATAAACTTAGTATATAATGTAGATTGCATTTTTGAACCCCCATCCTACATTTTGATTACTTTGGCTGGGCTCTCAATCCTAAGTAATTTAAGTTCAGCACTGGCATAAACATTGAATAATATTATCTTGGGTATTAATTCCTTATAGTGAAGAGAATTAAAAGCAGGGGACTTGCACTGCTTCAGCTGTGGAGTCCAGCTGGCAGCTGGAGTCAAGAGACAGAATGTACCTTAAGCTGGCAGCCTTGGTTTCCTTAGATGTACAGATTTTGGTGCTGGGGTTTGTCAAGTTTGTACTATGGTGCTTGCTATACCTCCTGGCCCCCATGAAGGGGTTATCATCTCATCAATATTTCCATATTGGAAGACGCATATGAATTCAAGATGAGTTTTTCCTCCCATTTAACATACAGGGGAGGAAACCCAACCTCATTTTGGGGGTGGGGTGGTACAGGACAACAGGGGTTGGGGGCAGGTGGCTGCTTTGGCTCTGACTCCAGCCCTGACCTTGGATCAGGGTCAGAACAGCAGCTGCCTCTGCCCCCTGCCACCACAGCTTCTGCCTTCCGCAATGCTCCTCTTCCTCCCCACCACACCACACAGTGTGGGGCTCCTAGGGCTGGGTAGGGACAGGAAGCAGAAGCCAGAGGAGGGAGGGGGAAATCGGAGACCCCAGTGGCAGCACCAGCCAGAACAATGACGTAAGCGGCACATAGGTGGGAGCCTGTGAGTCTCAAAACTAGGCCTGCCCAGGCAGCTAGTTGTATTGCCCTGTTTTAAAGTAATGTGAAATAAAAGCAATGCTGTATGTTGGGAAAGCTTCAGCAGCGTTCTCCCCCTTTCCATCCCACTAGTTGAAAAACATCAGTGAGCAGTAAAAAGTGAGTTTCTACAGCATCAAAAGTACATGGTATTGTGTAACCATGTGCATTTAAAGGAAAATGGCTCCTATCCTAGAATTCTTAGAACACTTAAGATGGAAGTCACTGATCTCTATCATATGTTGTCTTAAGTGAATAATGATAAAACTCATGTTTTGTGTCTAACTATCTTTAAGAAAGTGTTGATTGTTAACTAGTATATTTTAAAAACAGCAAATTGACTCAAACTCCTTTTTAAATATATAGGAAACTATTTCAGACAACCGTGGTGATTTTCTCTAAAACAACGTGTTCTTATTGCAAAATGGTGTAGTGAGCATGTTTGTTATTACCCTGAAATAAAATAGTTTTCTGATAGCATAGTGTTAACAATAATTTAGATTATTAAGAAGTATTAGCTTTGCAGCTGAATACAAGGCATGACCTGTGGCCTAGCAATGCCGCTGACCACAAGGCAGAATAATAGCTAAGCCTTTGCTTGTGTCAAGTAATCATTTTAACTGTGTTAAGCATTTTCTGAGTAAAATGCAGCAAGTGAATCTGTGTCTGTGTCCTGTAAAATCAGCTACAGCAAAGAACAAGATAAGACAAAGAAGCCATTGTTCTAAGTACAGTGATCGTGTCCTTAAGAAGTATCTACTACTGCAAGTTCTTGCTAACGTATCATAATGTTACTGTTACTTAACTTTTAGCTTTTAAAAAGTGCTAGTTCAGCTTAATAGAAATATGCTGTTATAAAGATTTGTAAAGCACTGCCCAGTATTGCTTTTGTTAACCCTATAGTCTTGCCTTGTTGTAAAAAGTATAAAAGATCGCCTCACCCTTGTGGGGGGGGCCATTTTGCCTCTTTGCTGGTTTAATGGTCATTGCTCGAGCAAATATACTGCAGTAAACCTTTACCCGTGGTTGTCTAGTTCCTATGCAGCTAGACAATGAACCCCAGGGAGTTTTCTCCCACCACAATGGCAAAGAAGCTGTTTCAGGATATGAATGTAAATTACACAACAGTAGAACTAGACATGCAAAGGAATGGAAGCCACCTCCAAGATGTTCTTCAACAAATGACTGGTGGCAGGACAGTGAGTATATCTTCTCTGGTATAATGAATGCCACACATACAAGCTGTACCCCATTGACTGTGACCTCACTAGATCTTGCATGCCAAGCAAGGTTAAACCTTGAAATTAGCTCCCAATTAAACTGAGGGTCTTAGTTTCATAGTTTCTAGGGTCGGAAGGGACCTGGGCAGATCATCTAGTCTCACCCCCTGCCATGGCAGGAAAGAGTACTGGGGGTCAAACGACCCCAGCAAGATGGTCATCTAACCTCCTCTTAAAAACCCCCAGGGTGGGAGCCTGCACCACCTCACTTGGAAGCTGGTTCCAGACCCTAACCGCCCTGACCGTGAAGTAGTGCCTCCTGATGTCCAACTTAAACCTTCCCTCCGCCAGCTTGTGACCGTTATTCCTGGTCACTCCTGGTGGCGCTCGGGGGAACAGGGACTCCCCCAGTGCCTGTTGATCCCCTCTGACTAGTTTATAGCAGGCCACAAGATCCCCCCTCAGCCTTCTCTTCTGGAGGCTGAACAGGTTCAGGTCCCGTAACCTTTCCTCATAGGACCTGCCCTGCTGTCCCTTGATCATGCGAGTGGCCCTCCTCTGGACCCTCTCGATGCTGTCCACATCCCTCTTAAAGTGGGATCTCTCTTGTTCTTCGTGATACTGACCTGAAACCCCATGGCAGTGTAACTTACTGCGCTGTTAGGAACACTGTCTTTTGAGTGGTACTTTATAAAGACCTTTTAAGCCATAGACACACAGTTAAAAACAGTTGGAGCTATGACCCATTTGCAAGATTTTATTCCCATGTGTTGAGAATTTTAGTAATTGTATTCTGCTTATGCGACATATCTCTCTAACTTCATTTGAATCACTTTTTTCACTGGTTATTCAAAAACTATCTGCAGTGACACCATCTTTTGAAGAAAAGGTAAACATTGAAGCATTGCAGGATGCTCTTTAGGGAAGTTTACGTTATAAATGATAATATGTTATAGGTTAACATGAAATATAAAACTAGGAGTTTTGTATATTTTTCATGGTAGTAGGCTTAAGCATACTCATTTTTTTGTATTAACAGGTTCCAAGAGTGTTTGTCAGTGGGTCTTGTATTGGCAATGCTATTGATACTCAGAAGCTTTACCAGGAAGAGAAGTTACTTCCTCTAGTCCATCAATGTCAAATGAGAAGAACAGAAAATTCCAAACAGCCCTGTAGTCTACCTTAGCTTTGCTTTCAAAGGTGCCCTGTATCTAGAAGAAAAACATCTAAAAACCATGTTTAGACCCCTAAGAGATGAGAATATCAGAACTGTTAGGACTCAACATGATTGAAAATCAGGCCATTGATCTTGGAGCTTAAAGATGGACTTAAATTCCAGTTTTCAGGTGTCTAGACTTGATCATATTGGCCAGCTGTGTACTGGAAGAAACAGGACTTTGAAATCAAGGTTTCCTGAGTTGTAAATCCTCTTTGGCACACACTTTATGGGCATGGGTAAGTCATCTAATTTTTTTGCTCTAGCTTAATCAAATACCATGGTAAAACCCTTAGTGTATGTTAACTAGTGGTTTGTTTATTTTTGTGTTTTTTAACTGCAGAATTTTGAAGGTGTAAAAGACTATGTACGCTTTAAATAATAAGTAAACTAGAAAGTGTTACATCGGGGTGTCAAACTCATCTGGGCCTAGTGATCAGATGAGTGGCAGAGATTGTTCATGGGTCAGATGGGCCAAGACAGGTACCACATGTAAGTGATGCTGGACTGGCTAGGGTGGGTGCTATAGACAGTAGGGGTCATGGACTGGCCAGGGCAGGTGCCATGCACTGCTCAGTCTCAGTCCAGCTGGAATAGGAGCCGTGTGTAATGCAGGGGCTGGTCTAGTGTGCAGTATGTGCAGCATGTAGGTCAACTCCAAGCCCCAGCGACAGCACTAGGGGCTGAATGATGAGGCTCAGTGGGCTGAATCTAGCCTGCAGGCCAGATCTTTGATACCACAGTGCTACACAAAGTTATGTGAAATTGGTAGCAAACATAACCTGTTAAACTGGAACTGTTCATCCTCTGCAAAGCATCCATTCATTTCTATAGGTTCTTACAAGATTTTGAAAGTTCCAATAAGCTGTAGTTCAGGCTAGTTTGATACACTCTCTAGCCGGTTTTACTGTAATTGAGTTGGAATAATCTTTTTTCCAAGTGTTTTGTCTAAAATCAAGTCAGTGATAAAATGGAATTCTTCTGTATCTTAAATGTATCACATTGGAGACAGTAAAGAGCAACATGCTGAAATATCACTGCACATATTAGTCCTTCCATTACTGGGTGACTTTCTTTCTTTTTAATTCCATTATGTCTATAGTGTTTGTACCACGCAGTCTTATTCTTATTAAAGGCAATTTGATCAGCTGCAAACATGCATTTTTTATTGATGTGTATACATTCTCAAATTAAATTGGAAACAGCTGTTTTCCTATAGATTCTATCCTAATCTCTAAAATATTGTACTAAAGTAGATAAAGGTATAGCCTCTGGAAGCCAGCTTTTGTAAACCTACAAAAAATGTAGTTTTGCAATATTTACCTTTTTAAAAGATCGAGAAGAAAACTGCAATACTGACTACAACACCTTGCAGTATTGCATCACATTTTACATCTGGTTCATGTGTGAATGCCTAATTGGCTACTATGGACTGGAACATTCTTACACAAAACAGCATTCTGAAAAATAGCTAGGGTCTCCTTGGCCGTGTCCAGATGAACGTGGCCTTGCGTTATGTGACCCCACAGACACATCTGTGGTGCAACATATCACATGTTCAGTTCTCCGCAGCGCAAGGAAGCAGCATAGAGAGAAGTTTTTTTTTTTGATCCCTGGGTATACAGGGGTCAAAAAAACCCTACAGGAAATGGAAGCAAAGTGGAGCAGCACACGCAGGGGCAGCGGCCACAACTCAAAACCAGAGCCGGGCCAGCCAGAGCTGTACTGCAGCTGCCAGCCAGGCTCTGCGTGGCAAAATCGCTGCTGCTGCAGCCCCGGGACGCCCCCAGGATCCCAGGAAAGGCTACTGGGTCCAGCCCAGTGCTGGCTTCAGTCTCCTCTACCTTCCCCATGGGTAACTTGTCACATGCCAGAGTGCACACGGCATGGGCATTTACTGGGGACAACTAGTGGTGGCACAATTTGTGCCGCTACTTGTCCCAGGGGAACCAAATGTCTACACTATGTGTGGATGCAGCCTTGGGGTGTTTCTGTACCATTTCCACAATGCTTTTCAGAGTGCCATTGAGGACCACAGCCATTCCTATTCCTATTGCACATGTACCAAAACATACCACCACCACCCCTGGCAGAAGCTTCCCTGGCCTTATGGGCCTGATCCAACTTGGGGGCACACATCTGTAAACAAGGAAGCTGCCACTTGCAGATGTACCCCAATGTTGGGGCACAGGGGGATAAGGACACTTGTCATGTACATGGCCCTTGACCGGGGGGCAGCAGCAAGCAGAGGGGAAAATTAAGGGAGCAAACCTGCACTGGGGGAAACTATTGCCATGCCACAGTGTGCAAGCAGAAGGAGGGAATCCTTTGCACGTGTATGTCTGCACCAGAATGATTGCCCAGGCATTGGTTTGCAATACTCTCCTCCGTTTGTGTGTGTGTTTGTACCCCATGAGTTCCCCCCTCTGATTGCATGCGGTTTCCTTACCAAAGGGCAGCATGGAGGAAAGGATGCTGGTGTCAGCATGCCTATTGTGCTGCTGTTCCTCTACCCGCTTTCCTGGGTCAGGGACCATGTACAAGGGAAAGGGAGGGTATCCTTAGGGCAGCTCCTCAGTCTGCACCAGGGGAATAATTCTCCTCGTGCATAGCTAGATGTGCAAATGCCTCCCTCTTCAACTTGCACATCACAGCAGGACTATCATTCCCTTGGGACAAGTCTGCAAGTGTGGAGGAGGGGGAGCTCCCCTAAGCGTTTCCCCCTCCATTTGCCACTTCAAGGGGAGCAGGGAACTCCTAGGGGAGCTCCCCACTCTATGCTTGAATCCCATGCTGTGGGATTCCCCATGTCCTGACATAGGGGTATCTACAAGCAGCGGTTTCCTCACTTGTAAACATGTACTTCAACTTGGGGCAGGACACCCAGAATCTTTTTCTCCCAGGAGCAGGGCCCTGAAGCCCTGGGAGGGGCAGGGAACTGACCCTGGGGGATGACAGTCCCAGCGGTGTCT